TCATAGCGCAAACAGAGACCCCGTCCCATTTTCCAGGTGTTTGTTTCACTGAGCGCTTAGCTAGTTGCACGCCACCCTCCCTCAGATCCAACACTGCACCAGTAGCTGGAAGTCTCCAGGCGGACACGACGGTCCGAGGGGAGGAAGAGCCCAAGGCAGAGCCCAGCCATGAGGCCGGAGTGGTTTCTCGCTTCGGTGGATTAATGAGGACAAATAAGGCAGAATAAGGCAGAGCCCAACCTGAGGATCGAGTGGATGACATCCAGTAGTTTATCGAGCATTGGCTGAGGGCTTGGCTGACACTTGTAGGAGGTATGAAGTGTTCAAATGTTGGGCTAGGTACACGTTGTTGTCCTATACTATACCAGTCAGTGACTTGCTCTTACCATCTCTTACCAGACATACCAGTCCCTGCTTTATGGCGATGTAAGACCCACAAACACTGCGTCAGAGCCACCCTCACTGGTGCCCTCCAAGAGGCCAGTTTGGAGAAGGCGCGCTGAGTTTCGGCGGGTTCAGAGTGGTAGACAATGTTGCGTTGATCCTCCCTCTTGGAAGTGGTTAGATGCTTAACAGCTCCCCATACACATGCCATAGCCTGTGATGGAGTGAAAGTTTCTGCGTAGGATGGGTGATCCTTCAGATCCTGCATTCATGACTCAGAGTTCCAGACAACTTGTACAAAGACGACGCAGATTGAAAATTGGCATGGTGGTTATGCAATCCGTTATTGATGATTTGTTTCATTTATTCTAGAATTTAAGCGGTTCAAAGATGCGATTGGGTCATCCTGCGCATCCACTTTTAACACATAGTTGAGACATGTTGAGACCTCATTCAGATGGCCCCCAACCTAGTAGTTTCGGCCTCCACCCTAATCGCGATGGCCTCCACCCCAATAGCGGTGGCCTCCAACCTAATAGCGATGGCCTCCAACCTAATAACGATGGCCTCCAACATGCACACTGCAGGAGGTGTCTTCCCGTTCAATGTACAGCACCTTGGCCAGTCTTTCCTGTTTTGTGCACTGGGACGGGTCACTTTTGAGCAGATAGGCCATCCCAAAGTCCCCAAGCACTTTTTTCCACTGTGTTGCACCAAATTACTTTATAGGCCGTTGGATGGAATTTCGGTGCGTTTGCTTCTTTCATCAGGGGCAGGTATATACAGTACAGGACTAGAGTCTGTGGCCCACGTGCAGATCTGGCGGTTTGAAGTTGTTTGACTCAATTTGTTTGAGTTTGTGCAGCAAGTTTGCTGTTCAGACTGGAACTGTAACTGGCAATGAATCGATCTTCCCACACCCGGAGGGTCCTTCAACATAAAGCTTTGAAATTGTTCCTATAGCAGGCAATGGGTGAATCTCAGACTTTTAGGAATGTGCCTTGTCTCCGGAAGATTCACAAATTTAATCAAGTTCAACGTTGCTCAACAGAATCATTTTCTCCCCGAACCAGGGGGCCTTTGCTGACGCCTTCAAACGCTCCAGCGCTAAAGCACAGAGCGAGGTTTGGTGGCACAAAGCTCTAACCCAACGCCACATAGGTCAGGGCCGTTTGGCGCGAAGGTTGACACATGGCGCATCGGAGAGCCAAAACCCATGGGAAATTGTTAGGTTTGGCTCTCGGAGAATTGTTCGATCGCTCTCAAAGACAGTGTTTTTTGCTGCCGGCGATAGCCTCCACCCTAAGAGCGAGGGCCTCCACCCTAATACCGTTTCATTGTTGCTGGCATTTTTGAGAGTAACTTTGTTGTCGACACCTTGTCAACCCATCAAGAAGGCTTGTTGCTGGGTTGGTTGGAGTCCCTGACTTTCCTTCGCGGGGAAGATGATGGAGTCATGGAGAAAGTTCGGAAAACAACTTTGACTGTGCCCGACTCTTGTTCTTTCACTCCACAGGGGGTGCGCATCTTGCGTGTGGGCTGAGAGCCACACTATAGAATCATGGCTACTAT